GACCCCGCCGAGTTTATTCATTCCGAATCGGCCAGGTTCATGGACCTCATTCAAAACGGCGCTCCGCCCAAGTTGTTTGACAACGACGACGCCTACACGTCGCGCCAAGTCCTCGCGTCGCTGAGCTTGCTCACGATGCCGGACGTGAACATCACCGAATTCCCGGCCTTTTTGGATGCGTCTGGTGAGACGTGGAGAGTCACGTTGTCGCACTGCCTGACCCCGCTGGATTTTCTGCAGGGATCGTTGCGCGAGTACAACGTCACTCGCTTCCAAAAGTCGGCACTGAGGGGGAGCAAGACGCTGTTCCGAGGCCCGTCACGATCGACAATGCCGCCGAATGCATTCTCGTTCTTGAGTGGCTCCGCCTCATTCGTATTTGCAGATGCGGACATGTGCATCACGTCGTGTAGAGTGCTGTCAGCGTTGTTTGTCATGAGCTACGACATCGACACGTACGGCGTGGTGCATAGGACGCTAGTGCAAACGACGCACAGCTTGCTAATGTGCAAAGAGCAGACGGAGCGATTTCTGACTGTTCGAGAGGCGCCGGCAAGGGATGGAAGAGGGGCTGGGAGTTTGTTTGAACGCGTAGATGCGCTACGGAAATTGGGGGACATCATGCAGTTTAGCTCCGATTATGAAATGGTGGCGGCAATTGACGACGCTATCAAGTTGGCTATGTACCGCATTATTGGTACGTTCCATACGCACATGTACAACTTTGTAGACGGAAATGAGGTCACGTGGGATAGATCTTTGGACAGGCAATTAAGGGACTTTCTCAGCTACAACACTTCGTAGCCAGGTTGGCGTGAAAGACAGGTAAAGCAACTAATCACCACTGCAATAGACATAGGTTCATAGTTGTTCTCCTCTTGAGCTGCTCGTCGCAGAATTGCGGGTGAAATTTGGAGGGCCATTCTGTCATCAAAACTAATTTAGTACATGTTTGCAATCTATCCACCCGATCTGCGACACTTCCCCGCGCACCGAGCCATGGGGTTGTCGCAGTCAATTTTTGGCTAGCCCCTCACGTCTCACAGGGACAAAGCGACTCTTCCAGTGCCATTCTCATGCGGTCCTTTGAAGCAGAAGAGAGGACAAACGGCCGCATAGAGAAAGAAATGTCCTTAAAGCAGTCACAGCGGCTCCGTCCAGGCCAAGCCGTACGAGGCGGCAGGGGAATTCAGGTGTTCACGCTCATTGGTTGAAAAATAGATCTATTTTTCTCGCATTGCTGTCGGAAGATGTTGTCATTGCTGGACAGTTTGAGAAATGTCTCAACTTTTGTTCTTCCTTTTCCTTGTCCCAAGGCTGTCTACCCTTGAATGGTCGACTTTATTGAGAGAGTATTGGGGCGGCCCGACACTAGAGCATCACGGTCTACGGAGGGTCTACGGAGGGTCTGTAGAGCAACTGTCTACCCTTCGAAGGGTAGACGCATGCGATTTGACCTCATATGAGGTCAGGCATGGCCTCATATGAGGCCAGCTTTTTTTTTGCAAAAATATATACATTAAATCGAAACTTTATAAAGTTAGTTTGGACACCATTTCTTTAACGCATATGCCCTCGGCAATAACATCTTGCAAAACATTGGGATGGCAGTTGTCAATACACAGAGAGACTAAGAATCTAATGAAGTTTCAATGGTCAGTTGACTTTTTAAACAGGCGTTTTGGTTTCGAAGATATCAACGTAAAACGTTTTGAGGTTAGTCAAAAAGGCTTCTTTTTCAGGCATTCTAAAAATGGCCGGAAAAGACGTGCAGATCTCACCGAACTCCACCCTTCCGCAACGCAGAATTCAACTGCAGTGGTGTGAGTATCTTTTTCCATCTTGCTGAGCTAGCACAAGTCGAGAAAAAATAAGTTGAAAAGTGACCTCATATGAGGTCATTTGTCGTCTAGACACTAAGCTCTGTTCTCCGAGCGCATATTTCAATCCCCAGTTTAGTATCTCATCAACCTTGACCGATTCGAGACAAAAAAATAAAGGAGGTCGAGATCAGAATTAGCATGATATCAAAGCTTCACAGGTCATGATTCTCTCACGATCTCAATTTTGCAAAAGTTGTCCAGAAGAGATGTAGTTGTTCAAAGGGTTGCTCCACATTTTGCAAACTTTCTGGAAGGAAAAGAGGAGTGTTGGGACCATTTTTAGGAGGTCGCTCCACAAACACTTGAAAAGTGACCCTCTTTCACATGTGTCTTTGAAAAATGAAACGGAGATATAGATTTGACATTAGTTCCGAGAGAAACAAGCTTTTTTTGAGTATACTCACATGAAGTATTTAGCCACCTAGTACTCGGATGAGACTGGTCAAGGGTTAGAGTTTGAAATTAAAGGGCAGTGGCGTACGAATCTGGCGCAATGGTCGCACGACGACCAGCTTTTGCAAACTCTGGTTCATCACAAGCGCAGAAGCATCATAGCAAACTAGTTTTAACAGCTGAGTCAATATCCGTTGTCCTCGAGGCCACATGTTTGGGTCTCAGGAACGGAGTATTGTGTAGAGCGGATGTATTGTATCTCTATATGCCTTGGAAGCATATATGCGAAACGGCTCAATGGGGACCGCGAAATTGCTCGTGGATGCAGTCCAATAAACGTTTGTTAGTTTCTGTGCGTTAGGCTT